CAAAATACCTCAAATGTTTTAGAGTGAGAAAATAAAAAGAAGGAAAGTGATTATTCCCTACCCAACAAAACAATTCCCAAGTTGGCTAGGAATGTTGGCCTATATCTTTAAATGTTCTCTGAATCTAAGCACTCTATTTTCCCCTAAAAATACAACAAATTTTAAACTAAATGTGTGTAAAACTTCAGATATAACTAAAATGTATATCTGCAAAAGGTCACTATGAATAAAAACAAAAGGAAAGCTTATTTTAGCGGCACTTTGATTTGTCTATTTTTAGAATTTCTGGAAAGTGGTCCTTTCAAAAATATTTTACAAAATTCTTATTTTAGATACATAGAGAATTCTTTATTAATATACCCACAAAACAGTTTTATCTGATCTTGTCAACAAACTTAATGTTGAACACACAACAGATTTTAACTTTGAATTTGAATCTAACAACACTTTACTCTTCTTAGATATCATATTACATATAAGTAATAATGATCTTCAGTTGGAGGTTTATAGAAATCTACAAACAAGAATGACCTCATCAATTTTTAATCCCACCACTGTAACAGGATAAAATCTGGAATAATTATAGGATTCTATTTAAGAGTACTAAGAATCTGCATCCATCAATACTTACTTGAAGAAATATATAGAGAAAACACTTTCAAAAATCTCCAATATCCTCATTATTTTGTCCACAATACTAAGAGAAAGGCATACAATATATACAACTACAAAAAGGTAACATTATTAACAAAAATGACAATAAACTACATAAAAGCAGACCTATAATACTGCCTACTAACTCCACAACATCTACTATCCAAAACAATTTATTCAATCTTAACATCAAAATAATTACAACCACATCCAAAACTATTATGGATATATGATCAAAACCAAAAATATGCATAAAAATAATAATTCTGGAGCAAGTATATAAAAAAATGTCACAACTGCTCTTCACAATACATTGGGGAAACTTGAAGAAATCTAAATAAACATATCTATCAACACAAAAGGAACTTATACACAACAATCTATCAAATGCATTAGTCATACATAGAAATATATTCAAATCACAACTTTGATCTGAAGAATGCCACATTTTTTAAAAGAGAAAGTAACTTACTTAGGCAGAAAATTATTGAGAGTACTACTATTGAATTTAATCTAAATATAAGTTTGCACCCCAAATTCCTGAAAGAATTCCTCTTTTCCCAAGTCAACATACATGATGATAAAAATGTTAAAAAAATTAAAATGAAATGGTTAAAATATATAATACATAAATTAATCACAAATTAAAATAATTTAAATATTAATTGCATAAAAAATAATTTACTCACTTTTGTTTATTAAATATTAAATTACGTCGCTTAGCATCTCCCATAATTTACATAAACTTTTCAGTTAACCTGATGAATATTTATGAGAATCACTTAAATTTAAAAAACAAACAAAAAAACAAAACAAAAAAAAAAAAAACATTTTTATTTTTGTTTAGAAATAATTGTTGCAAAATAAAATCCCTACATTTACCTTGAGAGAGTCCATCAGAAGATGAAACATGTTGGATAAGATAAGTTTTCTTTTTGTAACACACACATATATATATATATATAAGGGTTATGGAGTTGTGCACTTAATCTCGATTACATATTAGCATTTGGTTTATAAGTAATGTTTCAGCTACTTTATCAGCAACATCTCTTCTAAACAAGACAATAAATTTTATATTTTCATCATCTTATTTGTATAGGTTAATGAAGCATACTATTTAAAAATTTAATCAGTAGCTTTTTTGACTATTTGATAAGCACACATGCACAGTGGACCAGAAATAGAGAAGTCATCAACAATCTGAATTATTTCAATGGTAATACTAATTTTGATGCTCTGTGTGTGTGTGTGTGTGTGTGTGTGTGTGTATAGTGGGGGGGTGCACTTATATAAAAACACTACAGCACGTTTCAGTTGTGTAGATATTTAATTCTTGAATTTTAATCTTTTCAACATAAAAATTCAACATCACACATTAAAATTTCAAAAAAGCTTCCTGTTTAAGATGACAAGAAGTAATGAAAATTTCCAATCCCTTTGTTCAAACTCTAAGATAAAATGAAAATATATCCTGAAAAGAAGAAATATATCCTGAAAAGAAGAAATATTTTCAAGGAGTGTTACTTTGTTTTTCAAGTTTTGCATTTAAAATAATATTCATAAACCTCAACCCATTTTTATCTTGATTATTTATTCAGAATTATGGCTTTTAAATCCAACATAAAAAGATTGTGTGATATTTTTTGTTTTGTTAAATTTAACTCAAAAAGATTTGCATTTAATATTTTTTATTGTATTTTTCCAATTTTCAAATGAGATGTAGATTTGATTTTGTTTACAGCTATTCTATCATAATCACATGAATTCTAAGTTAATGTCATGTATTGTTCATATCAGGATGATTGCGTGTGTTATTTTTCTAAATTTATTTAAAGCTAATTTTATTTATTCATCAATGACATGGTTGGGGAAATTATTGCTGATAAGTAGATGTTTTGTTTTCTTTATAAAAGCTTTATGAAAAAGCCATTAAAAATATAATTTACCAGTATATGACACTTAACGATCCCAATGAATATCTTAGATTTATCATCTTATTACTATATAAAACTCTGTGAACTTTGTATCTTGTGTGTTTGCCAGAAGTTTATCATTAAACTAGATGGACTGCTGCTGTGGGCTGTCAAGCTCTATCTACCCAAAGGAGCTGGTTATGAGGCAACAGTTGTCTGCCGTCACCCATTCTCTAGATTGGAGCTGGACTTAGTTGTCAAAGACTATTTGAGACACAAGTCCTAAAAGCATTTTATAAACAGTAGGAGCTTGTTCCTACTATCAACCCTGGCTATGACAACCTTTGGAACATATACAATTTACATATATAAACATTATATACATTATGTGTTTTAAATGCTTGCAAAAAATTAATGGGTTTTTTAAATATATAAATCATTAGGCAAACAAAAACACTAGAAGGCAAGAAATCAACTATAACAAGATTCAAAGCCAGGTCTCAAAGAATGCTAATGTTGTAACCACTCAGCCATGCACCCACCAATAAAGATATAATATGAAATACACATAGCATTTGGAAATTATTGGCTGGATGTGAATGATGATAAAGCAAAACCAAAAATAAAAAGTTGTCCTCTGAGCATAACATCTGTCCCACAAAGTGCAAATCCCCTTAAAATATATATATATATATATATATATATATATATGTCCCTTAAATGGCAATTGCTTACAAAACAATGTAATATACCAAACCACGGTAAAAATCACCAGATAATGAAGAAAAGGTATGTGTAGGAGTAACTGAAGGACATTGGAAACAAAGAAACTATGCACACAAAACATCTTTCACCAATAGTAAATACGTGAACAGCACAATGCTTTCCAAGCATATCTGGGAAGTTAAAAACAAAACACAAATGATACCAAAAATATCATGGAAAATAAGAAAAAGATCATCAGCCTTCAATAATCAATCAAAAACCTACAAAATTTGCTTGGAGGAAAAAATACCTTCCCAGACCAAAATAAATTATTAAATATATGATCTCAGCTCATCTCAAAATGCAGACATGAAAATTTTTTACTATGTCACTTAAAATTAGAAAACTCAAATGAATAAACAAAATAATATAAAAAAACAAGTAAAATAAATTAACCCAAATAAATAATAAACAAATTAACAAACCACTCCTGTTAGAATAGATGAAATAGAATAAAAATAAAAAACAAGTAAAAATAATCAACCCAAATAAATAAAGTAAATAATGATAAAAAAAATTAACAAACCAATCCCACCAAAGTAACTGTTAGAATAGACTACAATAACCAATCCAAAAATTGGATGTAAAAATAGCTGTAACTGCTATATAACGATAAAAAAATTACTACTTTACTCAAAAATTGAATACTAAATAGAATAAATAAAAATATACAAAATAAAAATAAGTAAATAAATAAAAAACAAATAAAAATTAATCCAAATAAATAAATAAATGAACAAATCGTTCCCACTAAAATAACTGTTAGAACTAATAAAAGTAAGCTTAAAAAGTAAAAATAATCAATCCAAATAAATAAATAAATAAATTAAAAAGTGTCCCCCCCCCACTACCAAAATAACAGACTACAGCAAGCAATCTAAACATTGGACAAATAAATAGCTTTAATTATCTTCCCAGACCAAAACTAACTATTAAATAAATGACCTAAGCATATCACCCCACCAATTTTTTTTTTATGTTAATAAAACATCAAAAACTGAAAATAAGTAATACACAATGAAAATGTAAAACAAGTAAAATAAATTAACCCAAACAAGCCACTCTCACAAAAATAACCACCAGAATAGATTACCCATAATGCACCACTGATCCATATATGTAAATAGTCAAGGAAAAATCTGACAATTGCATCTAGCATGAAACAGCCTGTCACCTTTGAGTTTTGACTTCAATGTTTACTTATATATATATATATATATATATATATATATATGTGTGTGTGTGTGTGTGTGTGTGTGTGTGTGTGTCACAACATAAATGTAGTCAATCATGAATATTGCCACCAAAGAAAAAAAAAAAAACACTATAAAAATAAGGAGTCAGGGAGACAACCCATTTGCTTTTGGAAAGCCGCTTATAAATGGTTGTCAGATTTGTAGCTAATTCACTCCAGGCTTCTCTAGTCACCATTGTGACCTCGCGGTCAACCAACTCAACAACTCCTTCCTTTATCAACTCTACTCATCTCTCAAAGCTGCCTCCCTTGCCTACATTTAGAGACATTCCTCTCATATCTGCTGTATCAGCAATACAAAAGAATTTTATATTTACTATTCTTTCTTTAAAAGCTCACTGTTTGTTCTTCCGTGCTACCATACCTGTGTTTATAACAAGACTAATTTCTTAATGCCAAAGGATACTTACCTTTTCATCTGAACAAGTAAGAAAGTGGAAGAAGACCTCACACCTGGAGATGATCGGATGCCTGACCATTCTGGTGACCCATCGTTGCAGCAGCTTCATTCTTTCATTCACAAAATCATCTTCATATCGACCTACATTGAAATACAGAAAATAAGAAATGATTTCCTTACAACTGAAATATTCAAGAAGCAAAGCCTAGTTTTTACTTATATTCCCAAGAAAAATAAAAATTTCCCATGACTCAAGCATGCCATGTCCGTTAACTGGAAAAGGAACTTGGCATCTTAGTTTCAGTTGCTTCACCCCCCCCTTTCCTGAGCCATTTCTATGAATATTTTCACAGTAATTGTACCTCGACCTCATTAATTTAAGTGCAGCTAGGTCTCATTATTTCATTGTTGAAATTAATACTTGTAATCATAAGTTCTATGCTAATAGTTTCTTCTCTACACTTCTCACCTGTGAAACTCTTTTCCAGCTTCTTGCTTTCTAGTTAACTACAATCTTCAAAAAATTAAATGCAATGTCAATCGCTATCTTCTGTTCCTTTATTGTCCTCACTCAGTCTGTTTCCCTCTCAGTAACCTCCCTTGCATCCTAGTGGTTTTTATCGCCTTGCTAGGAGTGAAATGACAAAAAGAGATTGATTACGTCTGTTGTAGAATCTCATTATTGCTATAGTCAAGTAATGAGTCTAAAGTCAACATTTCTACCTTCCTTCAGGAGCACACTAGATAAATTCAGTCAGAAAATTTCCTTTTTTGTGTGTGGTAGCATTGATAGAACTGAAATTTAAAAGGACATGCAATCTCCAACTCCCCAAACAGTAATTTTTATTCTACTGAATCTGAAACTGCATCATCATTTGCAAAGAGCAGCAGCTTATATTTAATCTACCATATTACTTGAAAGAAGCTGGTACTTATTGAAAAATAAAAATAAATGGGAGTGTAGGGTGTCCAAATAAAAACCAAATGAAATATAAAAATAAAATATATAGACAAAAAATAAAAAGAATTAAAATAAGACATTTGTGCTTTCCTTTAAAACCCTTCTCTTTCTTTCTTTCGCTCTTTCTATACTTCTCTCAACTAATGAGAAGGCAATCATCAAATAAAAAAAGGGAAAGAAGAAGAAGAAAAGACTGAACCTGACCAAAAAACACTGAAAGTTTGCACGATCACAGCCTACTTTTTTGTGACTGAAAAAATACCAAAAATCAGGGAGGCTCCATGCATAACTTCCATTATAAAAAAAAATGAAAAAGAAAGGAATGCCAGAAAATGGAAGAATTTTGGCCAATCGAAAAAATTGATAAATGAGACTTTTGCTATTAGGAAATGTTCACACAAGAGTTTTGGAGCCTGGTCAAAATGGATATAAACTGACACTTTTGAGCTCTCAGCAGAAGAGACAGCAAGAGTGATGAACAGAGATGTTACCAGAGAAACCAGCCATGTGTGACATGTAAAGGAGTAGTTTAAGAGGTCATTTGCTAATGATGTTTCTGACCTGCTTAGGACAAAAAAAAAAAAAAACACAGTAGATCGACACTGACCTAATTCTAAGATTACTACAATCCCTATTATGGTCTGACTTCAAATTATCACTAATGGGCATTTCTCCAAACTGCTACCAATATCCACCTTATTAAACAAACTTTTGGCTACACCAAATACCAAAGGACTCACTCATCAATCTAAACAAAATAAATATATTATTTATTATAAACCATTGAGTCAGTTTATTTTAATCCAAAATTTTCAGTAAAGAAAATTCTACCAACAACACCTAACCATACTGGTAACCTCCTGACATGAACACACCACAGAAGTATTAAAGCTATCTCTTACCAAGTTGATCCATAACATTCAATCATATCTGAAGGTATAGTATCTACTAAATATTTTATTATTTAACAAGGTTTTCATAAACAGCCAAAGTGATCCATGAATAAATACAATTTTCCCCTGAAATTCCTTCATTTTGGGATATCATGTAATGGACAGTAGTAAGTATATAGCTATACTGGAGTGCAGCTAAAATGATGAATGGATAAAGAAACACATACTCCTATTCAAATTTTATTCATACTAGAAAAATATTTCTCATAAGATTTATTTTCAAACCACTTTCAATCTAAAAAATGATATAGGAAATGGAACATTCCATGCATTCCAGATTTTCTTAACATCAAACCCAAATTCCTTGATTTTTTTCTCTCAAAGAAAAAAAAAAAAGTAACATTTTTTTCAATCCTTTGAATTTGTTGTTTTCCCCGTTTCCAGGTTAGCAGTGAATCTTGCAATATGTGGCCACTATACAGGAAATAGCTAAAGCTATATTTCCTGTAGAGAGCCCACATATTGCAAGGTTCCTTCACTATTTAGTCTATATATAAGTTTTCTTCACCATTGTCTTTCACCCTCAGTAATCTCTTGCATCTTAGTGGCTTTATTGCCTTGCTAGGAATGAAATAATTATAAAAAAAAGAAAAAAAAAAGGTATCATGAAAATTTCATGTTGTAGGAATAGTGGAAAAGTAATTGTTAATCTGAAGATAAATTAAAACTCTTCTAATACAAAGAAGAAAAGGAAAAATGCAGAGAAATTAAGATTAATGATCTCACCTGAAATGGCCTTCTCTGGTAAAGGGGGTACAGGGATACAAGGAAATTTCTCTTCTAAACGTTCGTGTAACCAATCAAAATGTTTGTATCGACGACTGACTGTAAAATTTGAGAACTGAAGTGAAACAAGATATAGGTCATTCAAATGCGGATAAATATTTGACAGAAATTTATGAGGAAAAACATTCAGAAATAAAACTTTTTTTCAAAGTGAAATTAAAAAAGCGCTAAGTTTAGACCAACAGATTTGCAATAAGATAAAATAAGTCAAGAATGGATTAAAAATAAAAAATAACTTACAGACGGTGTCAACTGATAAGCCATGTAACTTTTCAATCCTTTTAATTTACTTTCTTTTTTTGGGTCTTTTAATTCACATGTGTATTGAGTTTTTACTTCCCATTCTAAACCATATGGACCCTCCTGAAAATAAAAATAAATCAAGCTCTTAATGAAATGGCCAATACATTTAGCAAATGTTTTCAACTAGGTTTGTAAGAGAAGTTCAGAGTGAATTCTATTAATTCTTTATCTGCTAAAAGTGAATTAATTGCACATTTATAAGGATAGAAAGTAAAAAAAAAAAAAAAAAAAAAAGTGCAAAATGATCTTAGGCAACCGATTTCAGAACTCTTTTTTTTTTTAAAACTAATGTTCACCCAATTCAAGACCCAAAAGATACTCAAGTTAGAGGATTACTTTGTGGTGATGTATGAATGTAAAAAAAGAGCAAAAAGTGAAGTTTCTGGGGCTATGCAGGAAAGATAACAGCTAATTCTAGACTTGAAAAGGTCAAGATTTAATTAATGAATAACATTTCAAAGTTCAGTCAGAGAAGTTAGAATTATAGTGTGGAAGTAGACTTTAGAAAGAACAGGAAACTCAATTCTAAACAGGAAACAAGGGATAAACCTCTACTCCTGTTAAAAAACGGGGGAGTGGGGTAAACTGGTAGATTTTGTTCATTCATTGCTGCTCTAATCATTTAGACAATATTTCATACTTCTCTAAAGGAAAAACAGTTTAATCACTTTGTAGATTAAAAAGTAGAACATAAAAGACCAGCTTAAATTATCACTAATCAACCTTCCACATTCTCCACAATATCAATGGTTTAAATAAAAAAAGATAGATATACAGGGTGCGATGGGTAAATTGTCGCCATTTTATATTTTTAACTGTGCACGAATGTTGTTTGTTTTTGATTTTGACAACTGCACAGTATAATAGGGTCAACTGGGTACCATCAGTGAGAAAAAGAGCACCATTATGAAATGGCATGCTGTACTGCTTGGCATTCCTGCTGGAATCTCAAATACAAACATTTCAAAGTGACTGGATGTCAATCTGAGGACAGTGCAGACGATTTGGAATGAGTTGGATGAGTCTAATGGTGATTACAGAGTCATAGAAGCTTGGAAAACTCACTAATTGCTCCGATAAGAAAAGAGCTCTTGAATTTGTTTGTAACAGCCAACATGGAGGCTTACATTAAGTGCCTTGAGGATATAGTGCTGCCCTGTGCCAAGAGGGTGGCTGCTGGAAGACCCTGTGTCTGGCAACATGACTCTGCACCATGCCACACAAGCAGGAGAACCCAGTCATGGCTGTCAGACAATTCTTATGACTACATGACCCTTTACATCTTGCCAGCTAATCCCCCAGACTGCTATCCCCTTGATTATTGTGTGGGGTGCAGTTGAACAAGAGGCCAACAAAACTCCTTGTAATACTAAAGATGAACTGAAGGCAAGGATTATGGCAGCTTTCACCAACTTAAACAAAGAGACTGTTCAGAAGGAAGAATTGTAGGAGATTTCAAAGTCGTCTGGAGGCCGTGGTTGAAGCCAATGGCGATTTTATTGAATAAATTTACTCTTTTGTATTTCAAGATATTTTTGTGTAATTTCAGTAAATATATTTGTTAAAATGAGATCTCAGCGTTATTTTCATTTTTGCATAATTTAGACAACAATTTATTCATCACACTGTGTAGGTAAGTAGTAGAAAATGGTTGACTGATTGATTGATTGATTCTTTTTATTAATATAATAATGGTTTAGTGATACATGTCTTACTAATTAATCTATAGCTGGAGGAGAAGAGGTGGATTCATACTTTTACCAAGGGTATTTGCACATCAGTGAATATAATGAAACCAACATGGTTTCATGGTCATTATAATGAATATAATGAAACCAACATGGCTTTCCAATTAACAATTCTGAGCCATTATCTATTACATTATCCACACATTTCAATTTACATCACCTGGTATCTCCAAGCAGTCACCCATCTAGGTATTGACCATTGTTTAACTTCAGTGATTGTAGTGGAACTGGTGTTTCAATGTAGATGTGGCCATAAGCCAGTAGAAAATGGAATTCACCGAAAAACTTTAGAAAATACCAGTCAAGGATATGCTTTTTGCACTTGGAAAGGCATAAATTCATATCTCCCTGCATTGTCATATGGAAGAAATTTCACCAGCTGTTGCCTATCTTCAAGCCCACTGCCTCCTGGCCAAGTTTGACCGACAGCAGTGATATGAGTAGGCCATGATATGCTGGATGTGTCGTGTGTCCACTGAGGATGAGGTCAGGTCAGACTTGTCTCTCAAGAAACTAGGCCTTGACGACCTTGAGTCACTGCTGTACAGTCATAGACTATGCTGGGCTGTTCATGTTGAACAGTGAGATGCCTATCAAACATGTCCATGAGGTGATGGTAGAAGAAGAGGATGGCCAAAGATGACTTGAGTGGATTTTTTTTCTAAAAGGACAGGGAAAAAATTGGGTCTAAAACTAGCTGATGCAAGTTTTAGACATATGAAGAGGTAAATTGAGATCCTCTGTCCAGGCAAGACTCATCTTGCTTTGGGCAAGATTAATCCCGGTCCCCCCACCCCCCAAAAAAACATGGTAATGATGACTGTCGCATCATCAGATATCTAAGTAAAATATATATATGGTTTGATGGGTGAGAATTTGAGATAAACTATTCTCCTTCAGTTACCTCCCTTCCCAGGCAGTGCTATCAGTAAATAGCTGCTGCATCAATTGTGAACCTATATAGGTGTCATTCAATCAGTTATATAAATAGTTATTCCACAACTGAAAGCACTGGTTTCATATTTGCTTAACATAGATAAACAGAACCGAGTAGTCAGTCCTTAAATGAGTAACTGTTTAATAACATTGGGTGTAGTAAGTAGCTCATGGCCTTGTGGAAGTGTAAGATTAGTAAAGATTATGTATTGGGTATACTAATATAAGTTGTGGAAGATGTGAATGTAAAATTTCACTAATATTGTAATCACTGTATATGTTTGGTAAGAGATTACTTTGAAAAGAAAAACTGAAAGTTAAAGCCTTTAACAGTTTAATGTCTCTTGCTTTATGAGGTCCAGGCAACCATTTTGAATTTGAACTTGTTGCATGGCCGTCATGTAACTTGTCAGCTAATTAGAGAGGACTTTACTGCACATGTTAGCAGTCACAGATGAAGAGTTGACTTGAGGCAATCTAGTTGTGATTCTACAGAAGAATTTAGAAGAAAATAGGAACAAAAAGGATACTTAGAATCTGAAAGAGACATTTGAAATTTTTTGCACACATAATGAGGAAAGAGAGCTTGGAGAAACTGATACACCCAGGACATTACAAAGGCAAGAGGGAAACAGTGAGTAACCTTCCAAATGATCTTGTATAAATGAAAGAACATGGACTTGGAGGTATAGTAAAAACTAGCAGCATGGCTCGGCATTGCCCGTGCTTGATTCGAAAATCAAGCGACTCATACAGCAATCGCTATCACTTGACTTAAACTGTGCTGATGTTGCTACATGCCTTACTTCTTGCCTATCTCACACTGCGAATTCTTTCTAAGCTCTATACTAAACATTAAATCTGTTATGAAAAAGAATTAAACAAAATGAACACAAAATGATCCGCTTTAAAAAAGGACTCGTAACTGGAAAAACCGAATGAAAAAGAACGTTATCAACAAATACTTTTTCATACCCAACCCAATTCTGCAGAATCAGAATCAACGTTGAGTTTAAGCAAGCGAATGAGCCAATTGGGGTAAAGTGCCATGCAGATTTAAATTTTTCCCACTTGTGACGAATGCAGCTATTGATTTTTTTTTGCATGCTAGCATGCTAGTTAATATTCTTGTCAGTCAGCTGTTGGCTCTCACGCTGGCCAATAGAATCTTCCTGCCTATTCATGGCAGCTATAGGCTCTCACTCTGGCCAGTAGAAAATGGCTGCAAACTACATGAAAACTGCCGTAGAAGCATGAAAAAAATTGATTATTTCCACTATCGATGGGAATTGGGAAATGTAAAGTTGGTCTTCCCGCTAACTTGGAGCATGTGCATGTAAATTTTGGTGCAAATCTGTCGAAAATTGCGGCCGTGCATTTGTTACACACACATCCTAACTTTTATAGATAGAGATACAAACATTGCTTAGAGAAGCTGCAAAAGATCGGAAGTTGTGGAAAGCCATATATGATCAAATCCTGAAGGGACACAGTATATAGAAGTAATAGTATCAGAGAAGTAAATGTAAATATTATGGCAGTGCCTAAGTGACTGAACTGACATCGTTTCTTGTGATATTAAATTGTTAGCATACATCAAAAGTGTTGAATTACAATGAAGCATCTTGTTGGAGTGTCACCTGCAGATGTCTATTCAGTGAAAATCTTTAATGAATAGTTTCCAAAGATACAATTAATGAAAAGAACAGACTGAAAATGTTGCATCAGTCAGTTATGTGCCATGCATGACACATGCTTACGCCATCATGTATCTTTCGATACATGACTGGCGAGGCAGATTTTATCCTGCAGTAGATGGCCATTTCTTTCTGCGGTAGGCCAGTTGCCATCCAAGGCTACAGAACTCAGTCTGTTCTGCTATTTACCTATAGCTGGGGGAGAAGAGGAGGATTCATACCTTTCCCAAGGGTATTAGCACATAAGTGAATGTAACGGATTTGACTGGAATTCGAACTTGGTTCTCCGATTCCTCAATCCAAGCTGCTATCCATTACTCCTCCATGAAAATGTTGCATACCGTTTTATAATCCTTTATTTTGACTTTAATAAAAATGTGAACATGGTAATGGTAATATTAGCAGTTTCCTTATAAGAAAACATTCAGCATTCTTTACCTGAACAACCAGTGCTACTTTTGGTTGAAATTTATAAAACTTTCTATTAAAAATTTTCCCCGGGAAAATAGGCTTCTCAAGTCCACTAATTTATCACTCTTACAGTATTGACAAGGACTTCATTCCAAACCTTTTGTTTGTAGTCTGAATGTCAATATCTTCATTATGTTATTATTTTCACTTTGAGCTACATGCGCTATCCATTTTAAAGCAGTTTCTGTTATTTGGTACAGTTCTGTCATTCTGTAATGTCAGTCCACCTGATTTAAAAAAGGATGGTCCTCACAAAGACCTACAGGATTCATTCACTCAGAACCTGTTTTAACCGTTGATCCAAGAAAGTGGTTGTATACAGCTGACAGTTTAGATATTCCTGAATGAGTTTGACACCATGCATGATGTCCATAAGAAATTGTTATTTGGTAAAACACTTTCTTTATAATGAACCTAACAGGAGTTGGAACTCGGCTCTCTGATTAACAATTCTGAGCCATTATCCATTACACCACCTGCACATCCAACCTCACAGCACCTGGTATTCCCAAGCAGTCATCCATCTAGGTACTGACCAGATGTTGCTTAACTTCAGTGAACGTATGGGAACCGGTTTTCGTAGTCTTTTATGGCATTGGACAAAAGTACCACTAGCATTACCTATTTTGGTTTCAGTTTCTTTAAAAACAAAAATGGAAATCATTTACTGAACAAAAATGTTCTTTTATCTTTTGTGACTGTAGTATTGATGAATAAAAAGGAATATTTTAGAAATGAAGTGGGGGGGGGGAAAAGATAAGAAAAATAATGACAGTCTTACTCAAACTAATAATCAGTTTTACTTACAATAATTTTGACACAGTCACTTTCTGCAACACTGCCTGTCAATTGCCCCATCATAAATGACTCGCCACCAGTTCGGGAAAACTGAGAAAATCTGAGAATTAAATATTAACATACAATTTATTATAATACATTATAATTTATACATTAATACTTGTGTTTGCATACATAAATGTAGATGTAACTAAAAACCTATCTTTTGCCTTTATTCATAAATACAAATGTATCATTGACTGTAATAAGTTAGGTTACTAACCACAGATCCATTAATGATACTATTAACATAGGAAAAATGGTGTTGTTTTGCAATAAAGTCACATTGCATAATATTGGAATATACTTGTCACAAGTGGTAGCTAGTTTTGCTGCAGATATTTCTGAAAACTCTGGGGATTATCTATCAAAGGAAACTTGTTCTAGGATAGTTATGCAGAAAACAGAAATTCTACTTTTTAAACCAGTTTGGACACAAAAACTTTTAGTTCAATCTGAATAATGGCATACATAAAGATATTTCCCATATTAAAATGGACGCAGGAATTCTCTGACACAAATTAGCACATTTAAGCTTTTCTTCCCTTTTATAGAATTTAAAAAAAGGGCCCTAAATAAAGCCATATATGTTTCTACAATTCCAAAATTTTTTAAAAAGCTTTGAAGTGGGGATGTGAATCCATAAAAAAAAAAAAAAAAAATAAACTCCCCACACCCTGAAATTAACAATTGGAGGCAACATTTAAACTGCAGCTGAAAGTCTACCTCTCCAAAAACAGAGATTGGCTATGATTTACTATAAATTTAATATAAACAATCACTTAACAGAGCTTATTAAGGTTAAGTGCTAAAAGTAATTAAGATGCTCTATCAATGTTTCCTGCAATGATTAAATCATAACTATGCCACTTCTCCTATCAAAATGGATTGCACAAATTACATCTCTATCCATTAATAAATTAACTTGAAAAATTAAATCAGATAAATGCTAAACACATAATTAAGAAATGTTATCCTTCTATTGACATTGTTGGTCAATGAAAGAGGAAGGAGTTCCTCTTGGTATAATGACCAGCTATCTAATCAGGTTTTGTATTTTCCTGTTGTTAGTCATAAAAGTTTGAAACTGATACAGTAAGGGAAAAAGCAAAGTCTAGAAGAAGAAGAAGAAGAAGAAGAGGATTCATACATTTCCCAAGGGTATTAGCACATAAGTGAATGCAATGGATTCAACTGGAATTGAAACTCAGACAGCCGAGTTTGAATTCCAGTCAAACACATTACATTCGCCTACATGCTAATACCCTTGGGAAAGGTATGAATCCTCCTCTTCTCAAGCTATAGGTAAATAGCAAGGGAGACTGGGTTCTACCGCTTTGGATAGCAACTGGTCTACCACAGAAAGAAATCTCAAACTACTGCGGGAAAAAATCTGCCTCATCAGTGATGTATCGAAAGATACATGATCGTCTAAGTGTGTATCACACATGGCACATAACTGAACTGAATGTTAAGGTGGGTTCAGAATTCTGAAAATTCCACACATGCAACAATTTCTATACAAAATATGTAGAAAAAAAAATATTAAATTTCCTGTTTTTTTTTAAAACAGGAAACAGTCACAATTAAAGAAAAATAAAAAGCCTAAATGAGGAATTTTTCAAATACAAAATAAATTTTAAGTTTAAAAAAGAAAAATACTAAAAACAGACAAATTTTTAATAACTTTAATATAATGATACTAACAAGTTTATAAGGACATAAGTAATTTTCCAATGATACTGTAGTTATTTATATATTCGATTGCTACTCAGAATTTTCTTGAGTATCTTTAACAATTACTAAATAGTAAACAAAACATCTGATAAGTAATGTGAACTTATATTACTTTTAAGTTAATAATCATTGCTCTAGTTTACTATTTGAGCACTTTATTGGTAGAAATTCTGTTTGCCTTGAGATATGTCAAATTATATAATTTTATGCATATCAATAGATGGAATTATTCCTATATATATATATATATATATATATATATATATGTGTGTGTGTGTGTGTGTGTGTGTGTGTGTGTGTGTGTGTGTGTGAATTAAGTCAAATGGAAAACTTAGCTGACACATTTTGTCCTTTGATGGACTTTATCAAGGTAAATGTGAGGATTTTATTTTGCAACAAGTATTTATAAACAAAAGTAAAAATGATGTTCAGAATTTTTTAATTTAAGAATGTTCATAAATATACTTCAGGTTAACTGAAAGTCAAGGTAAATTATGGAAGATACTAACTGATGTAATTTAGTATCCAATAAACAAAAGTGAGTAAAAGTTTTTAAATTAAGATAAGTCAGCTAAAATAAGTTTTCTTTTTGTTTTTATTCATATTGTCCTTTTACAGATAAATTATTAGTTACATCTGAATTTTTTCACACATGATTTTATATATATATATATATATATATATATATATATATATATATATATATTATTACTCCAAACATTACTTTTAGAGGATACCCATATTTGAATAGATGCTCCATTTGATTTTAGACAATTTATTTCATCTACAGACCTGTACACTTGAGAAGTTTCTTTTAATAAGTTTTGAGTATGTATGTAGTAGACAAAATAAATACTGTTTAAAATAAAATGGAGTATTTACTCAAATACAGGTATCCACTAAAAATAACACTTGAAGTAATAAAAATGTTGGATATACATATATTGTATCAATTTGCCGATCTCAATATAGTGAACTTTTATTCTGGTGTAAAAATGTAACACAAGTATGTGTGTGTGTGTGGAGATACACATTGTATTTTACATGAGGTTTCTTCAATATCAAATTTAGATATCCTTTAAACATTTAAATACTATTTCTCAACTATTTTTGTGGCGTTTTGTTTCTGAGCTTGAATGCTGGTTATACAACAGTACAAGTAATGGAAAAAAAAAAAAAAAAAAGTGCAGGGCAAAATACATATTTGGTGCAACAAAATACCAGTTAAAAAAAAAAAAAAAAAATCCTGGTTTTGGTCTCAGCAAATACTCAGTGGTTCTCCATAATCTAATGTTCACCAGAACATAATATTCTTATTCTATTTACAAAGAGTTTGGGGAGAGCAAAGAAAATATTTATATTTAAAGTTATAATGAAAAAAATTTTTTTTCTTCAGCTGAATTTGCAAGAATTGGATTGCATAATAGAAATCATGCCACATCAATAGTAAATTTTATTGCCAATGGGGAAATCAATTTAATTTGCATTTAAAACTGTTAAAATAAATCAATGTTTTGATAAAGTTTGAATTAAGCATTTAAGGGAAGCTACAAGGTGTGAGTTATCCATAGGAATAAATCCAATTTTATTCTACAAGTGTTAATCATTTCAATTATATATGCAAGTATTTTCTAAGCTTAAAGCTTACCCTGGTATAAAACCAAAAGAATACGGTATTTGATGAGAAACAAATTTAGGGACAAGACTAGCATTCTAATTGTTCTACATTAAAATGCATATCTTCCCAAATATATTCACTATCAAATTAACTCATAACAAAAAGATGAAATACTAAGTATGGAAGTATTCCTGTATAAAAAACTTAAATGAGTCTTACAATTTTCATGATAAAACAGGATCTTGATCAATAAACTGAATAACAAAACTACACCAGAGAATAGAAAAATTGCACTCAAGTAGAAATTTTAGTAAACTTAATTAATGCCCAAAGGTTAAATACACTTTGGCAGAAAGGGAGACAAGCCTGCTACTGCCACTGCTTAGAAAAAATCCATTAAATTGAAGAGTGGGAGTTTAATATTTTCAGAAATTTGTTAGCCAAGGATGGTGAGTTCAATCCCCAATAGTCAGCATAGTTAACAGTAAGCATAGTAATTTCTTTTAAGTATTATACACCCAATACAAGGCCTAGGTACAACTCAAGGTAGAGAGTTACTGAATAAGGATATTGTAAGGTTGTATAGGGAGGGAGAAAAGAGGTTGCATAATATGAGGATATATAAGATAGATAATGGTTGACCCTCAAGAACTTAAGATCATAGTGATCAAGGAAGCATCTCCTTGGGAGTATGTTATACATTAGAACAGTTCTGTAGAAGAAGCTGTCCGAGTGAAACTTCCTCCTTACCAATGGAATATGAAGGGAATAAAAATGAATCAACTCAGTGTATGTGATATGGTGGGACCTAACTGTGAAGGTCGGAAGCAGTGGAATGAAGAAATGTAGTCCCTCCAAATATCTACCATGAAAATCCCATTAGAGGAGCGGGAGGCTAGCAACATTTCATCTGTGAGAAAGGGGTTGAAGGGTGGAAAACAGTTCATCACTCACAAGGCCGTGCAAATCCCTGGAACATTGTCAAGGCTGTAAAGTGAGGATTAGCCAGCTCTAGTCCAAATGTGGCAGCAATACTCCTTTTTGGGTGATAATCTGCCTCTTGTAAAGATAAGGCATGGCAAGAAGAGTCAGGTACTTTCCGGAGCAGCATAAAGAACCAATCATTTTTCTAGCATCTTTAGCAATGAATAATATATAATTGTTCCACTTGAGGTCTGGTGTGAGCTCGAGTCCCAATAGACATTCAGGGTTACCACAGATCTGTGTAAAAATCTTCCAGGACTTTCCTAGGACTATTTTAAGAAATTTCAAGGACTGAAATTGATGTGCATGTGTGGGTGTGCACACAAAGTGAATGGTCATCAATTTCAAAAGCACAAACTTTGTGATTTATCTTTTAGTAGTTTGACAGATGAGATGTCTAAAGAAAAGCTACAGCTGGTTCCAATAATTCATGTCACATGGATCAGTTGAATGCAGTGAAGAAATCAAAGTGTTGAAGACACAAATGAATGCAGACCTGGTTATGTTACACATTTTGTGTAGCATTCTACACAATTTGGAGTTCTACTACATTTGAAAATTTTGAATTACACACTTTAATTCTTACTGCTACACATTTCAGCTATCTAGACTAGTCATGGTTTGTGAATGTCACAAAAATTCTTGACTGCTTAACATTTCCTGGGAAGTTATGTATAATGGTTTTAATGAACAGAACTATAAATAAAAATTTTCAAAAAAAG